CCGGCGCCTGGCCGGCCCAGTGTCAACGTGTCGTCTGGGAGGTGGCACCCCATGCGGACGGCTTCCACCTCCCAGCCTCGCATCAGCTCCGGGATCTCTGCTCTGAGGGCCGGGGCCACCTGAGCCAGGCAGTGGCTGGTGCTTTTGCACAACTCCAAGTGTCCTCCTCCTCCTCCCAGCCGCAGCCCTGGGTCTGTGTCCTCTGCCACCTAGGGCTCCAGTCCTGCAAGACCTGCCTAAGCCTACAGCAAATAAGTCTATGGGTTAAACCTCAAAACGAATCCAAATCCCACACAGCTGTTCATTACACCTCGTATCTGAGTGGATGGGGGAAGGTGAAGAAAACGCGTTCTGTGCCTCCGCGCTTTTTCCAATGGGAGCCTGTCCTGGGCCCACCTTGTTGGAAAGACTCACAACCACAGGTCAGGCTTCATTTTGTTGCGCGTGTGTGAATGTGAATGCGTTGTTTATGTCGGTGTCTGTATCCACGGTACCGTCAGCATTTAATTGCCTCACTGGCTCCGCGAGTTATTGGATCAGTGTTATTTGTGCAGTACATTGTGTGTCTGGGTCCATCCTGGCATCCTGAACCCTCCCTTGGAATTGCTCAGCCTCAGCCACAGTCTTTGCTTAGTTTTGGTTGAAAAGCAGCTTTTGTCGTTATGCAACCTCACGCTGGAGCCAGCGCAACCTGGCTCGCCTTTCACCCACCACTCAGCCCTGACCAGTTCCTTTCTTTCCCATGAAACTAGGAGCGTTTGCCAAAAAATCCCACATCCTCGTTTGCAGAGTCCAAGATGGTTGTGGGACTTGAAGCTGAGCACGAGGATCCTTAAGCCTGGAGTCTTGCTGAGTAAAACGTAGGGAGTTTTTCTACTCGGGGAAGCAACAGGTACTGTTTGCCCAGAGAGGAGATGGCGTGAGCTCACATTGTAAAATGCTATACGAAACCGCTCCTGGCCAGTCCTTATGTGATCGCTAACGTGAGGGAAATGCAGTGTTTGGTATTATTTTTTGCATAAGGACAGGAGATGGTCAGACTCAAATAACCCACTCACTTGATTATACAGTTCACCCAAGATGCCTGCCTGAGGCTCAGGAAACAGCGCCAGAGGTTTTTCCGATCGACGTGTGCCCAGACCATGAGAACGATTGCAAACTGCCTGAATCAATTAGCATTATTGTAGTCAAATGTCATTCATACACGCAATGAACACTTGTGAGACCATCAGAGAAAGTTGAACACAGACGAAATCCTTTATAAGAAATAATTGGTACATTTTAGGCATGACAATAGCCACTGTCTGCTTTTAAAGTATCTACTTTAAAATATAGAGTATAGACTATCAATAAAATATTGAACACATAATTAGAAAAGTAAACCTGCCTCGTTAAATTATATAACAGTTTCCATAAACCTACTAAGGATGCTTTTTCTGGTTTGAGTTATGGTGTGGCTGGCTGGGCCTGGGAACGGGCCAGTCAGAGTGTCAGGCTCTGATTGGCAGGTTGGGATGTGGGGCATGGCCAAGCCCAGACACAAGGCCATGACTCACCGTATCCCACTGCCTTTCCATGTTTCTGATCACTCCCGGGAGAGGCTGTCTGATAGGAAAGGCTTCCCTGTGAGCGTCTAGCAGCTGTTCTCAACCTGTGGGTCGCGACCCCTGAAAATACATCCTGCATATCAGATATTTACATTATGATTCACAGCAGTAGCAAAATTACAGTTATGAAGTAGCAATGAAAATAATTTTATGGTTGGGGGTCACCACAACATGAGGAACTGTATTAAAGGGTCGCGGCATTAGGAAGGTTGAGAACCACTGGATTGGGTATATAGCTGCTCTAACCCAACAATGTGTGCCTGCCTAATTCTAGAATGCTTTAGAGCAGTGGTTCTCAACTGTGGCTGCACATTAGAATCACCTGGGAATCTTTTTAAAATCCTGATTTCTGGGCCTCATCCTCCGGATATTCTGTTTCTTTGTTACTAATGTTGTGGCCCCACCCCATAACAAAGAAACAGAATTTCTGGAGGATGAGGCCCAGAAATCAGGATTTTAAAAAGATTCCCAGGTGATTCTAATGTGCAGCCAAGGTTGAGAACCACTGCTTTAGAGTTTTAGGAGTGATGTTATTTCTCCTCATGAAGTAATGTTATTTCTCCTCCAGTTCTGAAATGGCACATATTACTCTTGTATCATGACAGTATGTCATGAAAATAGTTACTAAACAGCCTGAGATCCCACTTAGTCGCCGTGGCTCACAGCACCTGATTGCCAGCTTTTGTATGGAGCACCTGCCGCTGTCTTTATTGATTGGTGCTGCTATTTTTACATTAAGAAGTATAAAGTCACAGGTACTTACCAACTTTTGATCATCTACATATTTTATCTGATGTTAGGAGCAAACGATGAAGCATAATTGATTTGTGACTGCTGTTTTGTTGATCTTGATCAATGCTGATTTGAACCTCGGTCTCACATGGGTTCATTTAGGATCCTGTGAAAAGTTCTCTTTCTGGGAGGACTAAAGAGATTCATTTTGATATGGGAGCCATGCAGCCAGATCTCTGTAAGAAGAGAAACATTAATGACGATTCTCTATCCGCACCATCATTTTTGTGTCTCAATTTATTCCTTGGAAAAAGAGGGTAAAAATTAGTTCCGAAATTCTTTTTTTTTTTTTAATCCTCACCTGAGGACGTAGTTTTAGCGATAAAGGAAGGGAAAGAGAAGGAGAAAGGAAAAACATTGATGTGAGAGAAACATCAATTGGTTGCCTCCTGTACACACCCTGACTGGGGATCAAACCCGCAACCTAGATATGTGCCCTGACCGAGAATTGAATCCCCAACCTTTTGGTGGATGGGACAACGCTCCATCCAATCAACTGAGCCACCCGGCCAGGGCCAGAAATTCTCGCAATGAGAAAAGAATTGTAAAAATTTTCATTGTTGGTAAGTGTTTTGAAGCCTTTAGACTTTGGCCTATATATTTGACACGCACGATAATCTCTGATTCTTAAATCAGAAAAGAGAAATTTGAGGGCAAGAGAGAGACTGGGGTGCCGGCCAGAAGAGGGAGAGAAGTCCTGGGCAATGAAGGCTTTCCCTGCACAAGGTTGTAAACCCTTACTTTGTGTGCGCATGATCTAATGGAGAGGAGAGATGGAAACTAAACAAGTAAAGATTAATTTCAGGAAGTGACAAGTGGCATGAAGAATCAATAATCAGGGTTCATAGATTTCCTAGGGCCGCTGTCACAAAGCGCCTCAAACCAGGTGGCTTAAGACAACGGAAGCTCAGCTCATTCCCTTCCAGTGCTGGAGGTTAGAAGTCTGAAATGAAGGGTCGGCAGGGCCATGCTCCCTCTGACACTCTGGATAGTACCCTTCCTGGCTCGTCCAGCTTCTGCAGGTGGCCAGCACTCCTTGGCTTTTAGCTGGATCACTCCAATGTCTACCTCTGTGGTCACTTGGCCATCTTCAACCTGTATGTTTCTGGTCACGTGTGTGTGTGTGTGTGTGTGTGTGTATGTATGTATGTGTGTGTCTTAGTCTTATAAGGACACCAGCATATTGGATTAGAGTTCACCCTAATGAGCTAATCATAACTCAATTATATCTGCAAAGATCCTATCTATACTAATAAAAGGGTAATATGCTAAGTAGACCAGGAGACCTTCCGGATGTCCTTTCAGATAAAGGCATGGTGGCGGGGCCAAGGCAGAGGCGATTAGGGGTGATCAGGCCAGGAGGGAAGGGCAGTTGGGGGTGATCAGGCCGGTGGAGGCGGGGGCAGTTGGGGGCGAGCAGGCTGATATCCAGAGTGGTTAGGGGCGATTGGGCAGGCAGGCAGGTGAGTGGTTAGGAGCCAGCAGTCCCTGATTGTGAGAGGGATGTCCGACTGCTGGTTTAGGCCCGATCTCTGTGGATCCTGTGGGGTTGGGCCTAAACCAGCAGTCAGACATCCCCCAAGGGGTCCCAGATTGGAGAGGGTGCAGGCTGGGCTGAGGGACACCTCCCCCCCCATGCTCGAATTTCGTGCACTGGGCCACTAGTTTTCAAATAAGGTCTCATTCACCAGCGCCAGAGATTCAGACTTCAGTGTGTCATTTCAGGAACACAATTCACCCTGAAACACAGGGTAAACAGATGGCGAGGGCTGCGGATGAAGTGAGAGTGTGGTTGGGAGAGGAGAGGCAGAGGCCTGCCTGGTGGAGGAAGCAAATGCTGCAGGTGTGAGAAAGGAGGCAGGCCCAGCAGCTTCCCAGTGGCCAGTGTGGCTCAAGCACCATGAGGTCTGAGACAGGACATGGCAAAACCTTGCAGGGCTCAGGAAGACGCGGGGCTTGACTCTAAAGTAGATGAACGTCAAGGTGAGTCTTTGGCAGAAGCGTGCCCATCTCTGGTTTATGTTTTCACATGTTAAAGTGCTTGGGTGGAAGCCAGGAGCCTGGACCAGTTTAATGGTCTAGGTGAGAAGTGGCTTGGTCCAGGGTGGTTACATCAGATGGAGGGAGAAGAGACGGCTTCAGGGTCTATTTTGAAGGCAAGGAGTCCTCTCCCTGAGGATTTGCTGCTGGATTGGACACGGCGCTGGAGAGAAAGAAAATAATCATGCGTGACTCTGAGGTTTTTGTCCTGAGCAACTGGTGAATAGACTTGCCGTTACTGATAAGGGGACACTGGGACGGAGGATCTGAGCGGCCTCCAGGACTCAGCGTGGACATTATCAGCTTGAGCTGCCGGCTAGCTTTCCAAGTGCCGTGCTGAGTAAGCGCTTCAGACCTGGAGTTTAGAGGCAACGTGAGGACAGGAACAAGGCAGCTCTCAGCGTGTGAATGCTGCTGACGCCCAGGGGGCCGTGTGAGGCCACTCAGAGATGGAGTGTCCTTAGCGATGGAGAGGAGCTGCAAGGACAAGGCCTCTGGGACTCAGATCAGGCAGAAACGGAAGAGGAGGAAGGGCTGCCACGCACACTGAGGAGTTGTCAGTGATGTAGGAGGAACACCCAGCAGTGCCATGTTCTGGAAGCCAAGCAAATAAAGCTGTTTCAACTAGAGAGTGATCATTTTCCAGTATGTGCACACAACTAGCGAATCATATGCTGTACACCTGAAACGGACATAATGCTATATGTCCGTTACCTCCATTTAAAAAAAAAAAAAAAAAAAGAACAGCGATCAACCCTGTTCTAATGGATATTCTGAAAAAGGTTTCAAAGTAAGGTCTTTACCTTGGAACAGAAGTATGTGATTCCTAGAAATTGCTATGTTAAGAAAATGGTACTTTGAGAAATGGTAGGGGGGTAATTTGGAGGAGGGATTCTAGAAGAGAGTAGGGAAGAACAGGCTCTCATCTTTTTTTTTTTTCCTCTTTATATTGCGTGTCAGTGCTTTCCCATCAGCTCAGCGCTGGTCTTGGAAGTCTCAGTGTTCCTGTGGGTGTTTCACGGGAACAGAAACATGAGAGTGAGGCACGGCCCTCGGCCCTCAGTGTATATAACCCCCGAGCTGCTCAGCACGGTTCGCAGTGTGCTGGTTTTGATGCTGCTCTCAGGGCAGACCTTCCCCTTCACTGCCTGTGGGGAGAAAACACCAAACAGCCACAGGTCTTTGATGTTAATGACTCTTCACATGTAGCCCTCATCTAAAGCGAGGTCAGGACTTCTCCTAATGAATGTATATTGTCTCCTCCAGCACAGTTCTAGAGGATTAAAGCATTAATAGTTTGTGGAACTAGGGTTAATTGCAATCCTCAATTCATGCGGAAGAATCCCAGTCCATTTTCCTGCATTGTAGCATTTATTCATTCATTCTGGAGACGGGGTTTTGCCCGGTGTCTCCGCGCTTGGGGAGTCTAATATATGCCTTGGGAAAGCATCTCCGGCCTTTCCAGGAAGGGTGTGCTCTCATCCCTGGCATCAAGTTTTGTTTGACTTGGAACTCATTGTCAAAACCCAGGGCACAGAGACAAAGAAGCTCCTTAGACCAGTGATGGCGAACCTTTTGAGCTTGGCATGTCAGCATTTTGAAAAACCCTAACTTAACTCTGGTGCCGTGTCACATATAGAAATTTTTTGATATTTGGAACCACAGTAAAACAAAGATTATATTTTTGATATTTATTTTATATATTTAAATGCCATTTAACAAAGAAAAATCAACCCAAAAAAATGAGTTCGCGTGTCACCTCTGACACGTGTGTCATAGGTTCGCCATCACTGCCTTAGACAATGGGGCTGCGCGTGAGGTTTGTGCCAATGAAGGGAAACTGCTGCAGTATGTCCATCTCTATGTGAACTGAAAGGCAAGGGCATGAACCCGAGGAGACTCTGGACCTGGAGCCAAAGGGTCGGGTTTGTCACCACCTTCTTGGGGACCCGGGTGAACGACTTGGCCGCTGTGATCTCAGTTTTTTGCACCTGTAAACCAGGAAGAATAAGAGCTCGTTTGTCTCCATCACCTGTTTATCATGGAGATCACCATGGACATTATCATGAGGTTACAAAACAAGGAACACTTAATTGGCCCCTACTGGGGTCAGACACTGCTCCCAGGATTTAAAATAGTAACTCGTTTATCCCCCCCACCAATCCATGAGATCATCATTATTACCGTACTAGAGGCCCGGTGCACGAAATTCGTGCAAGAGTAGGCCTTCCTTCCCCCGGCTGCCGGCACCGGCTGCCCTCCAGCACCCGGGACCCAGGGGGACCCGGGCTGGCTTCCCTTGGACCGCCTGCAGACACCTGGAAACTGGGCTGGCTTCCTCTGGCCCTGGCTTCGTCAGAAAGGACATCCGAAATGACGTCCAGTCTAATTAGCATATTACCCTTTTATTATTATAGATAGTTCTCAATTTACAGATGAGGAATCTGAGGCAGAGAGAGGCTAGGTAACGTCCCAAGATCACACAGCTAGTAGGTGGTAGCCAGGACCTGAAGTCAGTAATGATATTTAATGGTGTGTGTGTGTGTTTTTTTAAATTTTACCACCTATTTCTCTATAAAATACAGTAGTCTCAAAAAACGCAGTGGTAATGTACTTTCACTTTTATTTACCTAAAATATAAATTCTTATATGTTTTAGGCCTTTGAGAAATACATAGTTTGGCTGAAGAGTCGTATTTTTTACAAAGTAGACATGGGGTTTGGGAGTCACTCAGTCCTAGGACTGCCTGGGTATCTGTAGGGTCACTTACCTGACTCCTTTAACTTAGTGTCATCACCGTAAACCATTGACCAATTCCATGGGCAGCCAGCTGGACCAACTATAGTTAGATTGACAGGTGGGCCTGTTTGGTCAAAAGGTTAAATTACTTTGCAGGGATAATAGCACATGTTTGGATGCATATTATTCATAATCAGGTCATCCAATGTTCCTGAGTAGGATAGCCACAGGATCTGATAACTTACAAGTCAGACAAGTGGTGCATGTGCCCTAACTGGGAATTGAACTGTGACCTCCTGGTTCATAGGTCGACCCTCAACCACTAACCCATGCTGGCCAGGCTGACTCACCTTGTTTTGTCACCTGCCTGGGCCGCTGGCATAGGAACTTATAACACCTGTCTTTTTGCATCTCTTGATCCCAATTTCAACGTCTTTGTACTTTGGACCACTCCAAGCCTTTTATACACCAAGGTCGTACTGGATAAATCCATTCATCTAAAAGGAAAAAAGGATTTTCTCCCGATTTATTCCACTTCTTTTAAACAAATGCCTTGTGATTCCCTCAGTCAGCCATGGTTCCTGTGGTTATCTGGTCAAAATAATACAGGATGTTTATCTACGTAGAGTGAGTGAGACTTGGAATGAGGTCCAGAAGACCTGAGTTCTGCTCTCACTTTCTGCCAGGACCAGCGCTGAGCAATTTATGTAACTTCTCAGGGCCTCCTTCATTTTTTAATCCACAGCATGCGGACTTGGCCTCGGTGACCTCTCGGGGTCCCGTAAGTGTGGACCCTGTGATTCTGTGAGTCTTTGGGCTCTTGCAAGCAGATGCGCTGACTGCAGTCTCCTTCTCATCCTGCCGGGGGCACCAGGCGCGTGGCTGCCGAGCTGGGGGACAGCTGGGCTTTCGGGAGCACGGGATCAGTACTCGTTTCTTACTAAGCCTTGTGTTCTGTATGGACATTGTCAGCCCCTGGCACACAAAGACGCACTGTCCCCGCTTGTCTTGGGTAAAATTCCTAAAGGTCCAAAATCTTCTGAGCGAGCTTGTGGTACCGATTGTGTCTCCACTCACTGGAGACAGCATTTAAACAGTAGATTCAAAGTGAACACTGAACGCCCTGCGATTACAAAGGCAGGCACCAGGCCCTGCGAGTGGCTTCCATCCTGCCATTCCATGTGACCCCTTAGAGAAATACTAGTAGATTCCCTTTCGGTCATTCATTGTCTTAAAAACTAAAGAATGGTAAAAAAAACAAAACAAAAAAAAAAACTAAAGAATGAACCAAGAAAATAGTGATTATTGCTGTAGACAATGTTGATATATGAGGAGTGGGGTATTAAAAAGTGATCTGGCCTGGCCGGTGTGGCTCAGTGGTTGAACCAGGAGGTCACAGTTCGATTCTGGTCACGGGCAAATGCCCGGGTTGCGGGCTCAATCCCCGGTAGGAGGCATGTAGGAGGCAGCTGATCAATCATTCTCTCATCATTGATGTTTCTATCTCTCTCTCCCTCTCCTTTCCTCTCTGATATCAATAAAAACATATGTTTGTTTTGTAAAGTGATCTGTCTTAGTTGTAAGTACTCTGGGTGTGTTACTCCTACAGCCCATTGTTCTCTCCTCACATTTGTACTAGTTACCGGCCAACACCCTCCCAAGAACAAGCGTCCAAAGGAGCCAGGAGAAAACAGAATCAAGCCCACCAACAAAAAGGTGAAGCCCAAGATTCCCAAGACAAAGGACAGGGACTCGGCCGATGACTCAGCGCCAAAGAATCAGTCTATCATGGTGCAGATGACGGAGAAAGGGCGCTTCCAGAAGCCCGCTGCCACCCTGAGCCTGGCGGCGGGGCAGACCCTGGAGCTCCGGTGTAAAGGGAATAAAATTGGATGGAGCTACCCCCCATACCTGGACACCTTCAAGGACTCCCGCCTCAGGTGAGCATGTGGATATCTTTTATTTTACTTACACTGGGTCAAGGGTTTGTTTCGTCCCCTCAGTCAATATTGTATTGTTTCTGACATTGATCATTTCACTCTACCAGCTTATAAAAATGGATGCTCAATGGGCAAAAGACATTGAATTTATTTCTTTGACCAGTTACTAAAAAATTATTGCAAATCCTATGAGCGGTGGTTAAAACAATGACATTTTATAGGAAGCCATAAGACAAATAATTGAAACTGTGATGCATCGAGGTATTTAAGAATGCATATTGTAAAAAATAATGGATCCGATGCTGTATGTTACTTTTTTTCAACCATAATGAACACAGAAATGAGCTAACAGGACATTCCTAAGAGCAAGTTGACTGCATGTTCAACACAGAGTCATATGTCTGCACAAACCCCACCTCCGGTCTGCATCTCCCGCAAGGACACCCCCCTCAGCTGCTCTGCCAGAAACCTGGGGAGCACCCTTGCCTTGTCCTCTCCCATCACTCCCCACATCCAGTCAACCACCACGTTCAGCCAATTCAGCTTCCTCAGAGCCATAAACCTGTCCTCTTTCCATCTCTGGTGTCACTGCCCCAGTCCCAGCGGGTGTCATCCCACCCCACCAAGCCCTGGTGTGTCCTCCTCCAACTCCTTGCTGCAGCTGAAGTGATGTTTAAAAAGTGCTCATCTGGTCCTGTCACTCCCCTACTCATCACTGGGCGGGTTTCCACTGGGGATGAAGTCCGACATCCTCACATGACTGCTGAGACCCTCCCTGCTCTCCGCAGTCTCTCACCAGTCACCTCTCGCCTCTCGATTCGTGTCTCTGCTTTCGCTGGCTGGGCTCCTGGGACATCATCAAATGCTTCAAGCGCTCGGGGCCTTAAAACTTGGCTGTGCCCACTCTCAGCCCCTGTTCACTGGCCAACTTCAGCCTCAGAGTCACTTTCTCTGGGCAGCCTGTGTCAGGCCTCCTTAGGTTTATTCCCATGGGTCCTCCCTGGCATCCTCTTCTGAGAACTCTTTATCTTTATACCTGCTGCTTCTTCTTTAGTTTTCTAATCTGTGTTTTTCACTGGGACTTAGCTAAGTGCTTGGCCTTTAGCTTTATCTGTTGAATGATGGAATGACAATATTTCCTCCCTCTTTCTCACACATATACACCTTGGAGAATAACTAAATTAAAATATAAGTATAAGTAATATCTCTCTATCTAACCTCTGGCATTAAGACCTCTTTTACATTTTATTCTGAAGTTACTCTTCTGGCTTTATGGTGTATAATAGTGTAGGGTTTTTCTTAAGAGATATTTGGTTGGAGGAGTGGAGGGTGAAAGAATGAAATGGTTTTTCCCATTTTGATCTCCACACTTGAAATAAACACGTGGTGAGTGTGTGTGTGTGTGTGTGTGTGTGTGTGTGTCCCTGTTCGTCCGTCCTCTTAGAACAAATCTGGAACTATTTATTCCCACAAACTTTTTAAGTGTCTTAATTTACCAAAGTCAAGATTTACACACTTTAAAAAAAAACCAGATGGAGTCATTTGAAATTACTCAGAACATTTAGTCTTTGACTTACACAAAGTTCCTAAACCTAGATGACTTGGCCCTTAAAGACTTAATAGGAGTAGCTTCAAAGTTATGTTAGCCAAAATATGTTTGAAAATAGCTTAAGGACTCAAAGTAAAATGAACATGAATCTGAATGGAAAAGAAATATCCAGTAGCTGAAGAAGCCAATTTCGACTTAACATTAAGTAGCATTCATTCAAAGCACAGTTAGGGCTTTATAAGAAAGTAAAGACAGATGTGGGCCCCCAAGGACTCCACAAAAAAAAATGTGGAAAATGTGAAAAACACCTAGTCATAACTCTCTATCAAACAACAACCAAAAAAAAATCACGATTTATTTGACACCAGAGATTCAACAAATCGACTCTTGACATCTTTCCCGGAACGCGGGGCCTTTGGCTAGAAGAGAAGCATTCATTCGGTGTTTTCCTTTCCCGTGGAATGAGTTCTTTCCGTCGTTCTCACAGCTTTGGGGTTGGAGGCTCTCCTCAGTGGTTTTGAGCCATTTTGGTAGCTTCTGGAATGAAGTTCACATGCTGCCATATGTGTCCAAATGGGCTCCTCTGACCAGAAGAGGGAGTGTGTTATGGACCAGAGAGGTCAGGCTGATGCACAGCCAGATTGCCATCCTGTCTTTACCACTAACCAGCAGAGTGGTCTTTGATCAGTAATTTCCTTGGAACCCTGTTTCCTCATCTGGAGATAATAGTACTTATGGTAGGTACTGCCTGGCCCCTGGTAAATGTTCAGTAAATTATGACTAATGGTTACTAGGCAACGCGTATTTCTCAAGCACAGGGATCCAAAAAACCTTTTGGGACATTTCATTCTGACCAGCACTCACATTAACCAGGGAATTATGCACAGCTAGAGGATCCAAGAAAGTGTGTACACTTCTCTCCCACTTTCCCTTAATTGATCAATTCTTTGTCATCTGGGACCTGTGTCCATCTTCCCCCTGAAAGTGTCAGCCCCTCTCTAGCCAGTTTGACTCCGTGGATAGAGCATCGGCCTGGGAACTGGAGGGTCTCGAGTTCAATTCCGGTCAAGGGCACATGCCTGGTTGCAGGCTTGATCCCCAGTAGGAGGTATGCAGGAGGCAGCAGATCAATGATTCTCTCTCATCATTGATGTTTCTATCTCTCCCTCTCCCTTCCTTTCTGAAATCAATAAAAAATGTATATTAAAAGAAAAAATGAAAGTGTACGCCCCATGAGGGCAAATACCACATCTGCATGGTTCCTGGTCAGATTCCTAGCACCTGGAACAGTGCCCGGCACAAAGCAGAACTCAGGAAAGGGTTTCCTGGTTTTCCTCAGGGGTTTATGACCCTGTCGGAAGCCAGTTCCTAGTCACGCAGGCCTTCATTCATTCAGCATTTACAGATGACTACACTTAGTGACACTGCTTATTGGAACGTGCGAGCATTTATATCCAGGGTGCTGTGTCACCTGGCTCCATCCCTGTTATCTCAGAGTCTGTTGTTGCTTGGCCTCCTGGAGCCATTCATTCGTCAGTTGACCCTCTTTACCCATCCTGACCCCTGTCTTCACTTCTCTCCCTCTTTCCATCCTAAACTCTTGAACACGTCTTAGGTAAGTGACTTTGCCCCCTGTTTTCCTTCCCTCCCATTTGGAAATGTCCAGCCCCAAATGAACCTGTTTACCTGCTTCCTCTGGTGGCACATGGACACGGAGCGCTGCTAAGGAAACCAGGCGGCTGGCCGGGCGGGTGCCATTGGTTCCTGGTCACCTCACTTGTGCCTGGCAAAGCAGAAGACATTTCTCTGGGGAGCTCACTTTTTTCCTCTTCTTAAATCTCTGCTCTCCATCTCTCTCACTCTCAGCTAATTAAACGATCACCTAATTTACTTAGAAATTGGGCCCCTAGAATTGCCTCACCTTCCTTATTGCATCTCTCTCTTCCCTGCTCTCACAGCTTTAGTGGAGAAAGAGTTTGTCCACTCGACCCAGGCCACAGTGTCATCTGTGCTCTGGATCTTGTCCTTACAATCTTTCTCAGGAGCCTCAAGACATCAGGTATTGCTTCGCTATTCTGGCTCATCATGCTCCCCTTCTCAAGGGAATTCTCCCCATAAATCTTCTCCATAGTAGGAAACCCCAGCTCAGTCCCCACTACCCTCTGGCCACCTTCCTCTCTCTCTTCTTACCTTCACAGCCAGACCCCTTGGAGGAGTCTCTCTCTACTTTCATCATCTTATTTCCCTCTCCTAGCCACTCTTCAACTACTGCACCTGGCGCCTGCCCCTGCTCCGCATGCATTTATCACCAAGGTCAAGGTCACTAAATCCAGAGTTCACTTTTCCGTTCCCTATGGCTGCTCCAGTAGGTCCATCTGCAGACGGGAACTCTCTCCTCTTGGCTTGCACAACGCCGTATTCTTCTGGTTTTCTTTCTGCCTCGCCGGCCTCTCCTCTCGGTATCCTTCCCCGGCTTCACATCCTCTGCTGTTCCTGCTGTTAAAAATGTTGGTTCTGTGCCTTCTTCTCTCCTCACTGCCTGCTGCCAGATGCCTTTCATCTGCCGTAGGATAGATTACATGTTTCTTCTAGGCTCTAGATTGAACTCTCCAACTGCCTGCTCACCCGCCTGGACCCTTCAGGAGCCGTTCTCTAAATGAAACCACCTACCACTGAGCTCTTGGTCTTCTGCACACCTGGTCCTCCTGTGGCCTTTAGCTGATGACTGGCACTAATTCCACCCAGCTGTCCTTGACCAGCGGCCTGGGATTCACCTTGGAATCATCTTGGACACTTCCCTTTACTTCCAGTCAGCCCCCAGGCCCTAATGGAGCTACTGTTTAACTCTTTCTTGAATCTCCCCACTTCTTTCCACCACAGCAGCAAAAACCCGAGTCTCTCACTTACAGTAATAGTCACATGACTGCCTCCCTGCACCCAAGCCCTGACCTGACCTCCGTCCTCCACGGAGCACTCAGATCTTCCACAGAGCGCATCTGGTCCTGTCATTTTCCCGCCTCAAACCCTTCAGTGGAGCAGTTCTGCTGCCCTTAGAATAAAGTTCAAACTCCTGGCATGGCCCACAAGGCCATGCATAGTCCAGCCCCTGCCTTTGCCTTCTGCCCCATTTCATTTCAACACACGAGGATTACTGCTCTCCACCTGCAGATCCCGGCCCGCCACAGCCTTAGTGAGAGCTCCTTGCTCTCGGACCTCACTTCCACCGGCCCCCGTTACACATCCTCACTGCGCACCGGTCGCCAATGGTGCCGTTACCGTGTCCTCCCTCGCTGACGTTGGTGTCCCTCTGTAGGCTGGAAGCTTGGCAGAGGTGTCTGTTTATGCATTGGCGCTTCCCCAGCACCCAGCACGCCGCGGCTTCTCCACTGGTGTTTCAGGGAGAGCATGGTGCTGGGCCCCTGAGCCTAGAGTTGGTCTTAAGTCAGGGCCC